TGCTTTAAAAATGGGGGGGGGGGGGAGGCGGGGGGGGAGGAGGGGAGGGGCGGGGGGAGGGGGAAATATAACGACTTTGCTCTCTTCCCCAAACAATGCTCTATTGTTAAGAGGATCTACTCAGGGTGTCTGGTCCCCCCCCTATTCCAATTTTCTCTGTAACAAAGGGTGTGTGTCTGTGTCTGTGCAGGTGTGGGAACAAAGGAACTGGCAAGAGACAGAGATACAATGTAGAGCTCAAGGTTGATGTAAAGGGTGAATGCAATGTTATCTCTAGCATGTGAGTGACCGGCTCTTGAGGATTCTTTTGTTTGCGTTTAGGTTATAGCTCAATCATCAGTTGTGAAACACCAGAAAAGCTGCCAAAGTGCCCACAAAAGATGGGTAGAGACAGATTTCCTTCACAGGAGAACCAATCTTTTCTCCTCTCACACAGAATCTTCCCTCCTTAGATGAAACTCTGTCTAACAAGTTTGAAATGTTTTACAGTTAAATGTAATTGAGACTTGGGAAATTTAATGTGTATTTTAGATTTTATGACAAAAACACTAAGTGTTTTAGTAAAGATGAGGTTTTTTAATGCTTTTTTTCTTGTCAAGTTTTGTTCATAGCAGTCGTTCAAAATAAAATAACTATTATGGATAAAAATAAACACCAATCTAGTATTAACAATAACATTGAAATGGAAATGTACAGATTGTTTATCAAATTTATGCATTTCTTGTTTTCTACCTTTATTATTGTTGTTGAAAATACAAACAGCCTTTTAATGGTCCTTTAGATGCCTTTTTTCTATACAAACAAACAAGCAAGCAAACAGGAACTGACTTTGCTAAAACAATAAAAAAATTATTTGACTGCTTCATAACCCAACAGCTATTCATAAACAGAAGAAAACCAAATGTGGCTTTAAATTTTAAGTAGCCTAAAGTTAATCTGTGCAAAGAAACCCAGAAGATTTATAAAATCTTACAGCATTATTGGCTGCATTAGGGTAAACCCTGTAAAATGCAACATTGCAGACTTCTATACAGTTCTTTGTCAGAAGTGCTGACACCACGTTACCACCGTCTGTTTGCTCAGAGTTTTATTATGTAATTAGTCTGTTTTTAAGGATTATTTTCAAGTGGCTTCACAACACTTTTATGCCAGCAAACAATAAGACTCACCAAGTATTGGTCAGGTGCACACATCTTTGTCACACTGACATTTCTGCCATGACTCACATCAAAAAAAAAAAAAAAAAAAAAACCTTCCTCCCTTAAGGATGTAAACTTTTCCTGGCCGATGCAAAGTTGGCTAAAAAGAATCATGATGTAGCGTCTTGGTCCGTCATCATGGAAATTCTGATTTGCTGTGCAATAGAGATTACAAATTTTTGGAGACTAAATTTGTGTCACTGCTTAAATGAATAAATTATTAACTAAGTACATAGAAACATAAAAATATTATGATGAATCTTATTGTATTTGTTACACTTTTTATGCACACTCTCTTACCGTTAGTAACACTGTGCTCAGCATGTAAACGTAAACTAAAATAAACAATTAAATTACCTTTTTTTTAGATGTAGATTATTAACATTATGTACGTCTTTAACAAGCATATTATTTAAATATTTTCTCAAACATTTGCTTGATAATAGCTGTCTAACTGCTTGCTTGTAATGTGAACTATAAAAAGATAAGGTTTTGAGGACTTACATGCACCTTTTAGTGAAATGTACTTTGAAAGTCAGAAAGTAAAAAAAAAAAAAATACTTTAAAGGGAGACTGTACTCACTAAAGAGGATGGTGCACTGGGTTGATCTTGTTTTGACTGTCAGATAGAAAGTTGTGTCTTCTGCTCCGGTATTTAAAGGGTGCGGAAGGGATGAAAGAGGTTTCAGCTCCAGGTACGATGTGCCGTCAAAAGATGGGATATAGATGGTGGTATCTAAAAAAAAAAAAAAAAAAATGAAAAAAAAAATAAACTTTACATTTAGAGCAAATGCTTTTCATATTTAAAGTTTGCTCTAAAACCTGAAGAGTTAAATTTGTGTATCATCATTGCTTTTATTGCAGTGACAAAATGAATTCATACCAGTAATTAAACAGTCATAACAACTGGATGTGTGACAAATAAGGCTGGATGAAGACACGTTTCTCTTGCAAAGGAATATCCTGAGGGGGAATGGTAGAAGGGATGGAAAAGAAAGACGTATCCAAAACAAAGAACTCCAACGGATATTTAAGATGCAGGCTCTGCTACTACCAATAACAAAGAAGGGTCATGTGCGTTAAAAACAATTTTAAGTATTTTGTTTCCTGTAGTTGCAAAGTTTCATAAAAGCGAACGAAGCTGAACAACCTTTCGGCACAATCGACAAACCTGAACATGTAGAAGCTTTATAAAAGCAGAATTAACAGACATCTAGATCTGAATGGTTTTACAAACCACTTTGCTGGTTGCTCCCAGCAAATTGGTTTGTAAGTTTATTTTTCAAAAGAAGAATGGCATACCAAGTGAAAGCAATGTCTGTAAGTGCTTTCCTTAGCAAGGAGAACAACAGAAATTGCCTGCTGCATGCCTTTACAGCACAGATAGCTTGTCTGTGAGCAGAGTCAGCAGAGCCCCGTCAGGGCTACGAGTTAGTGTGTCATTTCCCACTGGATGACAAAGGGTCTGATTTTAAGGAAAGGTGGAAGAAGTACAAGCTCAGGTCATCAACTCCACAAGCCAGTGATCATCTGCTGGCCTTTTACACAAAGGACACTGTACACCAAGTGGGTCGTTTGCTGTTCAGGAACTTGAAAGTCAGCTCAAAACAGCCCAAGTGAGCCACAGCAAAGGGGATTCTGCTGATAGTCACTGCATCCAAACAAAAATACAGCTTGCACTTATCTGAGAACTACTCCAAGAGTATTACGAGTTTCCCTCTATTATTCTGTAAACAAATAATTTTAAAACCATGTAACAGGAGATGAACCATTTGCATTTGCTGTGCCATGCAAACAATAAAATAATAAACTCTACTTCCAATATATATATATATATATATATATATATATATATATATATATATATGAAAAGCATATTCCCAGTTTTAAACTTCACTGGAGGACCCATTAAAATCAGAAATACAGGAGGGAGCGATGAAGGATTCTCAGCAACCCCAACCTCAAAATCCAATATGGCTGCCATGTATTTATAATATGGTGAAGGTTGCCGTAAAATGCTATCTATCATCACTTTTACCAGTTTCTTTTTTATCGTTTCTTTCTTTAGATCAACTTTACAATTAAGTTGTGTTATATTTAAATCGTAAATACCACAATTTACTAAATTACCACAGATGATCGTCAAAGTTCCATTAATAGTACAGCTTGAGAACCTTGGTTGTATTAAGGGAAGTTGTTCTCTAGAAATGTTTTGGAATAATACATTTGTTCTTGTTTGCGCAACAATTAAATTTTCTACTCATTACTTAATTTTCCAAATACTTTTACTAATAGCACTTGCATTTACTTCTTTATAGAGTTTGCTCTGCTTTTGTTGTTTCTTGATATCAATCCATGATGAGGGAAGAACAATGTATTATAGATTTACTGTAATGGAACGTATCAGCATTTTGAACTACCACGTTTGACAACTTGAACTGTTCACCTGTTAAAAGGATAACCAAGATTCCCATGGCATTTTTCATATTGTCATGATCCTCTTTTTCTTAATGTGTTTTCAATACATTTTGAACTGTCTCTTCTTTTTCCATGAACAACACTGTGGGTATTTTTTTTCTTTTTTTTTCTGCAGAACATTATGTGGAATAGACATGGCAGCCAAGGCTTCGAGTTACAAAGAGAAAACATCAGCGACGGTGTTTCCGTTGTGGAAGAAGCGTTTCTATTGGACCAAAAATGATGAATCCATCCTGTAATGTTTGCTGGCAAATGTCTGAGCAAGGATGACCAAGCTGGCTCACTTTTAAAGACTCAGGCAATTACAGAAACCACACACTAGATGCCCACAAAAAGAGCTGGCAGCAACAAGTCACAATGTTGGCAAATCAGGAGGCACACCATATCAGGTCCCATTAATGTCAAAGACAGACAGACAAAAACAGAAAAGCTCAAAAAAATCTGATCTGTTTTTCTTGTCTGCATGATCACTTGTTTTTCCTGATTAAATGTATTGATGGTCTTCTTTCTCCTCAAGTTTCCTGCTCCAAGTTGCATTTCTGTATTTGGTTTCCAGACCAAATAAATATAGAAGACACAAATTAACCCAACTGTTAAATGCAAGTTTATGATTTTGCCTATTTGCCACTGAACAAATAAATTATGACTACTACACTGTAAAAAAAAATATGAATGATTTCTGAAGCTAAACTGGTTGAAAATTAAATGAGCGCATAAAAATACAAATTAGATTAACAGAGCTGTGGTGCTTTAAGAGGGGGAAATTGCACACTCTCGTATTGCAACTGATGTTAGACGTTAAGTAAAAGTTGCTGGAATGACACAAATGAGACGTACTGTGCACTTGGCATTTTATTTTCCCTTAGGGGTCAGCTTCCTATATCACAGCCTCTAATATACAAGTCAGAAATAAACTCGGTGAGGTGTGGAATGAAGTCGTGATCAATACAGAGCAACCTTGAATAATTTTTCACTTCATTGGTTTCGTCTTTTACAAATACTACCTGACACAGGTGCCATTTATTACATCATTGTAAGATTGCTTTCTATTAATCCTGAGGCTGGACAAAATGTTATTGCAGAGGACTACATCCTAGAAGAAGATGTACAGAAGGATGTGTATAAAAATGTATTCCATTACTTTGCAAAAGTATTGATATCCCATGCAGCTTTTCACGCTTTTTTCCCTCACATTGCAGCTAAAAAATTTTTTTAATATATTTTATAGAGCTTTTTTATGATAACCTAACACAAAGTACTGCACAATTGTTATTTATTTATATTTGCAAAGGATGCATTAGTATTTAGGCCCTTTCACTTTGACATCCTTAAATAAAATCCAATAAAACTAATTGCTTTTAAAGCTGCCGTACATTTTTTTTCTTTACATATTTGCTAAAACTCTCACCATGTCATGACAGTATGTTGAGGCTTTGAATCTTTGAAACGATCAGTCTAACCCCCCACCTCTTCTCTGTGCTACTGTTGCTCTCTGAAGAAATGCATCGCTCCAGACCAAAAACAACCAATGAAAGCCAGGAAGGGGGGTCCCAACGCTGTCAATCAAACTCATGTACTCACTCCTAAATGTTCCAATGGCGCAGAAACAACTTGTTGTTAAAGAAAAACCATAACCATCTGCCATCACCAGTGGCCATGCTAACTAGCCTGAATATTTACAACAGGCTATGCTGTGGTCTGTTTGTCACACAGTTATTAATTCAGGCAGAAAACAGTTGTGTTTTCTGGAGTTTCTGACAGGAAATCTGGAGGTATTGTGTTAAATCTTTGAGAAATCAAACAACATCATTCCCACAGTCCTGCCTGATTTGTCCAGATAACAGTGGATACACGGGAAGGTGGTCAGATTGGATGGGAAGATGGGTGTGACTAAATACAAAACAATCTTTTGTATTTTAAAGGCCATAAAACAAAACCTTTAAAAATACTACACTGAAGATGCTGTAGGGCTCAATAAGCGTAGAAAAGTTAAATAATAATTTTGCAGGGCACTGCTAAAGAACTTAAGTCTCTTACTGTTCAATTGCATCACGAGTTTATAACAACAATAAAAATAAAAGCTACAGCATTATAAACAATCAGCAGTTGTGTGTCTGTGTAATAAAAACATCTTTGTCAGTAAGCTTTGTTGTCATTGAGATGTCGACTATTTTCAGCATTTCTTTTATCATTAAATTACTTGCTAAAAATAAACAGGTTGCATACCCATGTGCATTAATATATTTGTTAAAGATCTGTGCTACGTATCAGTGTTTCATGTAGGACAGAAACCAGTCCACCTCTTTCGTCACTGGGTTGTATGATTTATCTATAATTAGCGCGTAACAGGGGTGACTCGCTTCACTGTTCTCATGTGGCTATTCCTTAATTCGACAAGATGTAATGACAAGATTGTCGCCAGGCAAAGTCGCTCTGTGGCAAATTCAAGTTCAGAGACTGTGTCAGCATGTAAACAGCCCCTGGACTTTTAAAGCGGGCTATGAGAAACTCGTGTTGCAAAGCACATTGTTGGATAAGTGCTCAAAGGAGATTGGACCCTGTTAAACCTGAGACTGTAGTTCTTTTGAGAAGGAGCAATTCCTCAAACTCAGCAAAAGTGACACTAAAAGGCTACTTCTGGTATTTAAAGAATAAGTTTTTAAGTCTGACAAGTAGGCGAATAAGCAGGAACTTCTTTTCTAGTTGAGGAAGGGAAAGGGTGAAAGGATCATTGTTGGAATAAAATCAAACTGAACATTTGATTAATGTTACGGCTATGGTGGAGGAAATGAATATCCTACTAGCATACGACACAACAGTTCATCACATAATCTAAAGAATCAAAAGTTGTAACCACCATTTGGTCTGGGAAGGTTTAAGCTCTCCTAATTTGGGGAGCCACAAAATGAGATTTTGTTGTGCGCCATTTGCATTTTCCTGAACTGAAAAATCTAACATTCTGGAATAAGTGAATAAAGAAAACAGCAAATGAATGCATCATTCATCTCCAGTGGATCTTTAGGCAGAAGAAATCATCTTTAATAACTAACTCAATAAACCAGCGTCTGAATCATGCAAGGGGCGGGTAGCAGCTTCTGTCAACGTGGTGGTCTCCCGCAGGAAAAAAAAAAAACAACAAAACAAAACAAATGAGTCTTAAAAATAGAAGCATTTTATCACAGTGCCTGCAGAGACAAATAATGCTTTGTAAATTAGCTAAACACCTGTAAATTAGCATTTTTAAGAAACATGGCAGACGTGTCAAATCAGGGTGCTGGGTGCAGGCGAACTACTCAGGCTCATGTTAATGACTGTTAATGTTAGCTCAGAGGCAGGATCATGTCAGCTCTGGGAACATGAGATTATGCTATGAGCATAATTTCCCAACACTTTAAACTTTTCTTAGGTCAACAATGTGCAGCACATATGACAGTAACTAATGTTTACCTTTGAAGTCTTCATTTAAAACCTGTGACTGTAGGCACAATTATTTCAAGGGCTTCACTCTTGTCCTGGCTGCTAAGCTGAAAGCCACTCCTTAATAAAAGGCACATGGCAGTTTGCCAAAATGTACCTGAAGGACTCTCAGACCATTAAAGACAGGTGAGGTGCATTGTCGTAATGAGGCAATTGTAAATTTTTGAGGAAATATATTAATTTAATACAATTTAGAATAAGGCTGCAACATAAAATGTGGAAAACGTGAAGCACTGAATACTTTCCAGATGTAGTGTAAATATTAGCTGATAAAAATAAGTTACATAGCTAATAAACAGACTATTTTGACAGCTAGACTACTTAATTAATGGTGGAAGATTTCATTTAAAGTAGTGTAGCGTGACATTTATGCTATAATGTTTTATAAGAAATAATGTATTAAACAAAGTCATCTGCATCTACTTGAAGATGAGCATCTTTATGAAACTGTGTCATATCATTTTACTTAACCTTTTACTGCTGTTGTTTTTGGACCACTCCTTTGTGAGGTGTGATTGATAGGAGCTGAAGAGGGTGGGATCACATGCACATTAGTTGTGTAGTGCACTGGGCTTGTTACAGTCTAATTGACTTCTGAACCCAACTTTCTTTCTATCCTCAACAGGATAAATGACCTGCTCCTCTTTTTAGTCAATAATAAGTAGATTAACACAACTTTATTCAGTTCAAATTAAATTTTCTCTGTGCTGTAAAAAATACACTACAGAAGCCAATGTCAAACGCACCCAACCCGATCAGGTGTATAATTTTGGGTCGGGCTCAGGCTACAGATCAGGTCGTGATTGGTTTGTAGTTGTGGCATGCTATTGGCACAACTACAAACCAATGTCAACTTGTACACATGACTGTCTTCAAATTGACATTTAAGCAGAAATAATATGGCAAGTTCACTCTTAAGTGTGAAACAAGTGAAAGATCAAACATCAAAATCTCTATTTTTAATCTCATGTTTAATTTAATTGTTAATCTGTAGTACGGATTGGACTTTAGCTGTAAAATGGGAACTGGTAAAAGAAAAACTCCTATGCAGGATGCGAGGTACTACTAGCACCATTTTGGATTTACTACTTTTGTAGTGGGAATATATATATTTTTTTTGGTTAGAAAAGTAGGTGAGAACGCAGAACAAGTGGTCTAAGGTTGCATTCTCATTCTGGGTGCATGCTGAAGGGGAATATGAACATACAGCAATGTTCAAGCTGCTTATATGGATCTCTCATTTCATTTATCATATTCTGAATAATTCACATCACTCAAAATTCTTAATGCAGCTGACTCTGTTACCCCTCATACTGAAACCTATTAGCCAAAGAGGCTCAGCATATATTACCAGACATAATTCGAAGGATGGCTCTTGGTGATACCACTATAAAGGTCACATTACAGCAGTTTTTTTGGTCTGTGCTTCCTAAATCAGATATAATAAAAACAGAGTACAGAAAAAAAAAAAAAAGCAAAAATATCTTGAGGTACCTTTTTCACAAAAGGCTCCAGTAAAATGAAGAGGACAGTGGCAGGAGGAAAGAGTTCTTCCATGAAGCTGAATCTGATGGAATGTTCCTCCATTGTGGCAAAGATCATCATGGCCAGCTTCAGGTTCATGCAGAGGAAGTTTGGGAGGCGGCGTGAACAATACCAGGGTTGCTGTGCTTACTGAGGTAGGTGAAGCTGATGGAGAGGTCAGACTCAGGTAATTTTCTGTGGTGGTCACCATGTGATGTAAAGTATACCTGAAAGAGAGGACTGAGTAAAATATCAATTTAAAGGCATATGTTTTTTGGGTGTAAAAGGCCAAAGAACAAAAAAACATATGAGGCCCATTGTTTTGGGCCTCATAGGTTTACAAAGCAAAGGGTACAGAAATACTGTGGTCCAGATAAGAAAAACAGGTTGCTTCTTTATCGGCATCTCCTCCCAACTTTTAAACTTCCTGGATTCCAGGTATATTATCCAAAGTATCTACATAACACGCTTGTTTCATTTTATTTTGTACATTTTCTTATAAACTTATTTGATAATATGATTTATTGTGATGTTACAGATCAATCTTTTTCAAACACGTTCCTGTAAAGAAGATTACAATATTAAGAGAAATGTGTTTCCAATTGTGCCTATTTATTATTTGATTCAGACATAATGATTTGTTATTGAATAAAATACAAAGATAATTTATAATTTCATCTAATTTACACAGTTAATATAATTTTTCTGCCAATAAAAACAACAATTGTTAAGCTGCTGTTACACTGAAATTAAAATGGCAGTGAAAAGCTAAGCTTTATTTAGTAATGAATGAAAACGCAATACTTAAGTGTGGCTGATGCATTATTACTCTACATTGCATTTGCATCAGGGGTTATGTGCTTCAATGAATGGAACAGCTTGAAACATTACTGACAGCAAAACACTGCGTAAAAGTTGTATCATTATCAACAATGTAAAATCCAGACTAAAGAAAAATATTCTGAAAGAAACTAGTAATCTTAGTTTAATGACTAAACAGAATATCCACATATTTACTTAGCATATTTAGAATAACTGGGGATCAGAGTAAGACTGTGAGTGTCTTATGAAACACAGCTTTGTATGACAGAAACTGTAAAATATAAAATAAAAAGGGCTTGGAGACTTTAATCCTGATTATTTTTAGCATGTCACAAATATTTCATCAAGCTTCAGCAAGTCTATTTTTTCCTTCTAAGAAAAAGTTGCCAAATTATAGTAGTGGACTAGTTAAAAAAAAAAAGAAAAAGAAAAAAAAACATTAGTGGTATTTCAAAGAGTCCCTACATTCAGATTTTTGCTTGATCTGGTGTTGATGCCAAAATAGTACGACAATTTTTCTTTATCAATATAAAACAAAAAAGAAGGCATTGCAAAATATAAAAATGATGAAAGAAAATACAAAATAGCTGTTTCTTTCTCATGTTTTAGTAATAGGGATACAGTGTATTTTACCTGCATTGATCTATGTTGCTGCCAGCAACTGCATCAGTTGTGTAGAAGCTTCTTAGGTGGTTAATTTCTATTACTTCAATGCAGCCAGTATAGTTGTGAAGAGGCTTTGCTTTCTTTAAAAGAAAATATGCAAAAGAAATATATTTTTAGCTTCATTATGATAATGTGTTGAACCCATAAAGTATGCAGAACCATATAATTTTGACAGCTAGTTAAACCATCACACAATAATCACAAAGTTTACCTGATTGGGAATATATTGTTGTCGCAAACCACCTACAAAGACATGGTTTGTTCTTTGACTCATGTGTCCCAGCCAGTAATTACTTGCTATGCTTTTAATTCTTGTGCGCCCCGAAAGTGTCAGCTCTGCCTCACAAGGGGTCAGGTGTTGTCTGATAAGGCAAAAACATGTTAGGAAGATGCTGGTGCAGACATACACAAGCTGCCATGTCAGTGTTTTTCATACCCCTTGAAATTCATTACAATTTGATGTTATGACCAGAAACGCAAGTGTATTTTCAGTGTAAGATCTTATTTGATAGTGTGATAAACTGACCAGTCTCATTAGTTTTTGCAGTTGCTTTATATACAATTTCCCAGAATTCAACACCATCTATCATTTTTCCTTGTTGGTATGCCCAACAATCACTAGTCTTTGGCGATTTCCCTTTCCTTTTCTCAAGCCATCTTATGAGGCTCCACAAACTATTCTGGACCCACCCTATAGTCTCAGATTCCAAAACCAATTTGCCTTTTGGAAACAACAGGGGAACACAGATAATTACCTAAGTGCAGATTCTGGACTAACTAGCTGTAGCTTGAGGGTTCTCAGGCCACAGATACAAAGTCCCCTCTCTGCGCCTCCCGATGCCTCTTGTTCCCTGAGTAGAAGTTAGAAGGTCCGTGAAGCAATCTAGTCTGATTTGTTAAGCTGGTGTTGCAGGCCGTTGCATATGCTGGCTAAACACTCGGGGCACTTGCGACAACCTGCATAAGTCCTTCCTCCAAAGCCAGCATAGAGATGCGGTTAATTTAGAAGCAGTCTGCCAGAGCGGCCTGGCCGGCAGCCAGAGGGCACTGTGCTCACTGTCCTTGAGAAGTCAGCCCCACCGGGTTCCTATTTAACATATTGAAAAGCGTCTTTGACGGGAAGATATATTAAAAGTCTATAATGAGTTAGGCAGTGACGTTGAGGATGGCTGTGGTGGTGTAGCTCTGGGTCAAATCAGACAAAGATGGACGGAGTCAGCCATCAGACAATTACAAAGAATTTGCTTTGTGACACCAGAAACCATTTTTCCATACAGCCAACCCCCTAGTTATGACAGCTCTCTTTCTTGCAGTGTCTCAAGGGGTTGGAGTAGAACATTATGATTGATTCATACTGCTGTAGTATTTTTCTTCCAGGAAAAAAAAAAAAAAAAAACAAGGGCTGGGCCTTGTAGCCCCTTGAACCTGATTGGCCTCTCATATATTTAGGGCAGAGCAGCTTCTCTGCCAAGAAAACAAGACGGCAACCTTCCCACTCAGTTTCTGTTTCTGTGGGAAAATAATTTGCTTTCCTTTGGCACTGAATGTTCGTTATCACCTTCAGTGTCTTAACTTGTACACATAATGTCATCTTCAGGCAACAAATTAATTTCTTTCTCTCAGTGGTGTGTTAAAATGTTTTTTCTCTGAACAGAATTTTGATCTAAAAAAAAAAAAGAAAAAAGAAAAATAGATTCGCAAAACATTGCAAATATGTCTCTAAACCTAATTTTTATAAGCTGAACACTGACTGGTTCAGCTTCAGGCTCATACATAATAACTTTATGTCTTGAAACGAAACCACAATCTGTCTTATGTCAGATTATAATATAGAGCGGCTGGCAGCGAGAGTGCACGAGAAGTAACATAACTAAAGGGGCCACAGCCTCACTTTAAATCATTTAAACATTGATTTTGTGCTTAGCTTTTGCTTGTTAATCTTTTCATAATGAAAAACTGCAAATGAAGACTTCAGAACAGCCAATAAAACATGGTCAGTGATCACTAATGCATTTTAATAGGCACATTCAAATGTTTGTTTGGCTCCTTTAAAACATAGGCCTGCCGGTCCATTTGTTATAAAACCTAAATCCTTCATCTGGTAATCCCTGACAATTATATTGCTTCCTCAAGAGTTAGTTTACAACCCTACCCTGTAAACAAATCTGCCACATTTGGAAAAAGTAGGTAACAAGACATGTAGCTCAAAGAACCTGGGGTGCTTACACTGTAAAAAAAAAATAAAAAAATATATATATATCAGATTTTTTTTACAAGGACCTAAGTGGCTTATCACTGGGAACATGCATCTTTTTTCCTCAACAGAAAATGTATTCTTGCCTGAAGCAGATAAATATCACACTGCATCTCGTTTGATGTCCTGTACAGTAAAAGCCATGAAATGTTTCCACTGCTTATCCACTTCTGCTAGAACACTAACGCATACGAAGCGCTTTTCTATAATGCCTGACCACAATGCAGATCTGATCACGAATACCTACTGTGGCTCCGCAAGCTTAAATTAAGGTGTACATACCTAATATGCACAATGTGAACTCTGCCATCATCAACGTGACTTGATGCACTCATCCGTGTAACCTCATCTTCTTCATTGCAGCAAAAGGCATACTGAAACATTTGAGAGGAGGTTTAAGTATGCAATTTGTATTTGTCATCTTATGGTCTGTTTCATGCATGGCTTCTGATAGCTTCCTTCAGGAAATGTTTTCGTTCATCATCAGGAATAACAAGAATATTCATGCTCGAGTGTGGGTTCTAAAAATAGACAAAAACTGTTTTATCTCTTACTCATACTGTACTCCAGTCTTATTAAATATAGCATAGCGCAAGTCAAACAACTAAACTTATGAATGATTCTAGTATAACCAGCTATTTGCATTCCATCAATTTAATGCTATTTTTTTGTACAAGAATGATTGGTAGATACATTTTTTGTGTATTGTATGAACTGAGGCATTAAAGTCCACTACAGGGGCCTGTAGGACAATGCATTGCCAGCATCCACACATGCAAGAAAATAACTTCTGAAAAGCTGTCCAGAGTAGTAACTATTACTTCTGAAAAGGTTAGGAACTGACAAATTAATTCAATTCAATCGGCTTTATAAATTACCTGTGTAAAGCCAATAAATGTCTCAAGGCACTTTTGAAAAACAAGAAATTCTCCTTTTCAATAAGATTCTTATAAATCTCAGCACTGAAGATTTTACTGCACATTAATAACACATTTCACAATAAACCCCCAGCAACTGTAATTATAATGCACTAGATTTCACTCTAAGAATTGTCCATACTACAACAACATTGTTCTACTCTATTTGTCCTCCTATTTTGATAATAGTTTGTGCCAATATTTCTCTCATATTTTCAGTTTGATACTATAGAGTAATATTCTAAAACAAAAACATACATATTTAAACCAGAATTACCAAACAGATAGCCATTGTGAGAACATGGAACATCTCTATAAAACTATAATTTACCTGCAAGATCCCATCCTGGATAAAGAGTTTCATGAAAAAGAAATCCCCATTAATGGGTCCTTGGTCGACATATAGGAGAGTTCCCTGAGAAGCTGTGGTTTGAAATCTCACAATAATGTTGTTGAGAGTTCCAAGGTCAACACCTTGAAACTCAAGGTATGAATTCCCAAAGTAATGGAGGTAGCTTGAATCTGGGAAAGAGATAAATACACAAAGCTTAGACTGTGGGAAAGGTTAAGGAGACGTAAGCTACGTTACTTTATGAATCTTTAGAGTGCGATCAGCTAGGTTTCCCAATGGATCCTCTCAAGGAAAAAGAAACAGGAAGGTCAGCATATGCTACAGAGAAACATCTGCAGAATGATAAAAGCAAACTGACTTGTGACGAAAGGTGTCATGTCATTGTTTTGAATTTCACAAGTCATTTTGAAGTATTTTCACCCAAGTCTGCAGACAGTTAAATGGCCAGAGGTGCTTAGTGAGCTGAATTGCGCACCAACCACAGCTCTACCGTAACACATTTTTTGCTTGGTGTAAACTATCAAGTATTTTCAAGTCGAATAGTTCAAGTTCAAGTAAAGTCATATCATTGGTGCTAAAAGTCCCAGTGAAGTCAGAAGTCTTTCAATTTCATCAAGCTTAGTCTAAAGTCAATCAATTTTGATTCACAACTGGTTATGAGATATGGACCATGACTGAAAGAATGGGCGCCTTCCTGGTGAGATGTTGAGGGAATGTCCCACTGGGAGGATGCCCCCAGAGAAGCTGGCCCAAGCTTCTCTGCGGAGAGGAAAGTGTGGAACTGCGGAGAGGAAAGTGTGGAACTCTATGCTTAGGCTCCAGGATAAGTGGAAAAAAAATAATGTATGGATGGGCGGATGGACGGACGGACAGATTTCCAGGCGCTTCCCAGAGGGAATATATATCCCTTTTGGCTTACAAACGCATTGGGAATTGAACAAAATGAGCTGAAGAATATCCCTGGACACCAAGATGCTTGGAATTTCCATCCTGGAACTGTTATCCCTGTGACCTAGTCTCAGGTAAGCAGAGGACAATAGCTGGATGGATGTACTTCTCCACTTTTATTAAATTATAAAAATTATAAACAAAACTGAAATTAAGATATTCATGCAAGTTGCACTGTGCAACATTCCTCATCTTATTGTCAAAGCATACTATTTTTCATGGATGAGACTTGGCAATTATGGGGTATTTGATTGAAAGTTCACCTCCTTGGACACGGTTGGGGATTAGTGATGGAAAAAAACTTAAAAGACCGACACTGACTCCAGCATTAGGATCACTGATGCTCAATATTTCTAATTTAAAAGAAGCTAACTAAAGAAAATAGTCAAAAGCCAGAGCCTGGTAAATGGATGAAGCAATCCCAGATGAAATAGTCTTCTGCTCTGTTTCCTTTTCAGAGAAAAAAAAAATAAAAATCACTAGAGAAATCAGCAACATTTTTTTTAAAGTTGATGCTGTGATTAACCATACAGCTGCTAAGTGTGAACTTATCAATACTTCTCGAATGCCAAGTTCTAATAAGCCAGACCCCCTTTTGATCTAGCAGAAACTCCTTAGGGAATTTGGCAAGCCAGCTAACCTACGTAAATACCCACATTCTCTCGAGGGAGCAATATTACCCAAACCCTGAGGAGGATCCTGGGATAACAAAAAGAGAGAATCATCAGGATCAGACCTACTGCGTTGCATGAATTAATCAGGATAAATGGATGCGGAAGCAGTGCCGTACTGTCTTCTGCTTTGCTACCGACAATGGGGTTTGCCAATGCTGATGATGGAAAATTACCCCTCAGAGACAAAGCTATTCATTAATTTTAAAGCCTTGTTTAGTCTGATGTAGTCTTTGATGCATTAGGAGGTTGCTGCCAGGAAGCAGCATCATGTCTCATTAACAGTAGATTTCAGTCTCTTCTTCAAAGGTCTACTGTTTTTACTATTACCTATTGCATTCACATTCCAGATTTTTGCACATGCCTTAGGTAACTATTCATGCCCTATCTAAATTGTAAATCTACACAATCTTTCCCACTATGCTCCATATCTGTTTTTTTTTTTTCCCACTGTTAACATAATGCTGACAAAGCAATTTTTCAACCCTCTAATCTTTTCAAAAGCTTTTCTAGTTCCTATAAAGGGAAAATGTTGTCTACTGAGGATATTCATTGATATAAATCTTTCAGATCTGATTTAATTAGGGCCAGTTCTGATACATGATCATAAAAGAGGTGAGAAAACTGATATAAGTCATATTTAATGGAACAAGGAGAGGAGGAGCGCAGTGTTGCGGCACAAACTGTAGGCGAATGTCAGCGGGGTTAAAGTAGAAGACGTTCCACTAGAAAAATATATCTGAAGAAATGTGAACTAAGGATCAATTAATTGGGAGACAGAACTTTGATGGGGAAATTTAATTAATATGGACTTAATGTACCATTTATTAAAAAAAAAAAAAAAAAAGAAGTCATGATGTAAGTTCTGCTTTGCCGCTGATTTATTGGGTAAGGTAATAGACTGACTGATTGAACTTGTCACAGGACAGAGATAAAATACTGCAGAAGACCATTCTTGGACCTGAGCAATTTCACAGTCCCCAAAGAAGGCAAAAGGTCATTTTGTACTTACAAAATTGGCAGAGAAATGACCTATAATAGATAAGATTTTGCTGAATATCCTTCCTCTACTATAGAACATGAAGGATCCAATTCAAAATATATTACAGGCTTTTTCTGGTTTTGCTGGTATAGCTATGAGCCCAAATCTTGAACAAGTCAATGTTTTTTTTTTTTTTTTTTTTTAATGTAGATATTGACACGCTAGCATCAGCAGATGATATACAACTAAATTAAAACAAAACAAAACAAAACAAAACAAAAATCCACAAAATTATGTTGTGTGTAGTAAAGTGGAAGGAGACACTAAATAAGTAATGGACACATTAAGAACAGAAGCACAGCAAAAGGATAACAATTTTTTTGTCAGTAATTTGAAAGTGGGTCAGAATCAAAAGTGACCCATAAGTGCTCAGTACTTACTGCCTGTGTAATTTCACTTCACAGTACATTTTATGGACTTATTTTTGTTGTTTTCATTGTATGTTTGGTTTACTAGAGTCTCATCTGAATTTCATGTCAATATCCCCAATATAAAAAAAACAAAAAAAAAAAAACAAACATAAATTGGTTCAATACTTACTTTTCCTGTTGTATTATTTAGATATTTTTTTAATAAATGACTGATGCAACTGCTGCAATGGAATAAAAAGAGAAATACTTCTAACAGAAGGACGCATAAAATAAACCTTAAATGTCAAATTTATTTATAACTTTCTAATTAGAGAAAGTCTTCATGACGGCAATATTAATTCACCAAATCACTCAGAAAAGTTACAGGAATCAGTATCTAAATACAAAGTGTATGTTAAAAAAAAAAAAAAAAAAAAAAAAACATAATCAAGAGCACCAAAACAAAATCACAGATGTGGGAATTAAGATTAATAGTGGGACTGCCGTAAGAGGTGCTGAATGTTAAAGATGACTAACATCTTATTCATCAAGGTGATTCTGTACAGCTTCAAGGGGATAATTTGATTTCCACAACACATGGCAGCAAACGATAACAGCATCACCTGTGTCATGGTGATCACTTGAAGGAAAGTCAACCAAATCATAGCTTAGCAGGAGTAAGCCTCCTTCCATCCCAATTTCAGATTCTCATCAGCGTTCACATTAAATAGTAAAGGTTCTATGCTGTGTAGCCCAGCTCCAAATGTACAGAGCAGAAAAGAACCGATTTAAACCTTAAGGTTTATTTCGAAGCAGTTCTGAATATTCTTTTCACATTAGAATAAAAGAAAAGAATCGTACGCTGTCAATGTACCGTGCGTACACCCCTCTTATGTTTTGACTTCACTTTAACTTGATATATATATTTCAGAGATTGTGGAGCAGTCTGTGGTTTAAAGGAGCACTGAGTCTATTTCAAGCAGCACCAAGGGCACTGCATGTGTTTAGATGGTGACCTAGTTTAATAAACTCGTGAGTTTCTGGCTCCTCTTACTTTAAAACTTATTTACTTTGATTATGCACTTATGTGTAGAAGAGTAAAAGGATGTTTCAGTGTGCAGATGCTCGGGTTTGTCTCCTATAACAACATTTTTTGTGCACCTTTAACCCTTTCTTAACCAGTGTGCTGACTAAGAGCTGCATCAGGTGCTGTGGGGAGGACTCAATTACATTTGGCCCACACTGATTTTCAAAGTGTCGCAACAAATTGGCTCAAGCTTGTCTGTGTTCAGTAGGTCTGTTTTACAGTTCTGTGCACAGTTTCAAAGGTAGACAGACCTCATCTGTCACAGAGTAACAATCTGTCCTGCACTCCTGAATTCCTCCTCTTACATAGATGACTGCATCCAATCCCAATAATGTGTAACAAATTATGTTCAGCATCTGTCATTTGAGATTTTAAGGATGTAAAACCAAACACTGATCAGCTATATTACTCTCCGGAATCACATTTTTTTCCTCAAATAGATATAGGCAACACAATTTAGAAGAAAGCACAGAGATATATTTGCACACAATGTCAGCACAGCTGCACGGAGCTCCTATGACAATCTCTGAATCAGAGCTTATAAATCATAACTTATTTTCAAAAGGCTCCATAAAAATTCAATTTAGAGAAGGGCTCAGATTGTCTTCTCTCATTCAAAGCTAGCAAAACGCTGTGCAGCTGTGTTTGCTCTGAAGGACATGGTAACTATGGATTTTTAATTCAAAACCAAGTTCCTGGAACTGGGCTCATTACTTTACCACATTCAGAGTTTATCCATTTTGAAAGTGTAACTTGGAGTCAATTTGTTTAATATATGATGTTTGCACAAGTAAGAAGAGTAGCATGGTTCCCATATGGCAGTATCTTTATTTAAATTTTTTCATAATGTCACACAAGGAAGTAGTCTTAAAAATATACACAGTTGGGGTGTGCTGTGGTAGTGCAGGTGTTAAGCACAACCCACATATAGAGGAGGCCTTAGCCCTCGACGTGGCTGTCACAGGTTCGATTCCCAGCCTGGTGACCTTTGCCGTGTGTCTTCCTCTTCTCTCATTACCCACTTTCCTGTCAATTAACTATCAAATAAAGGCCACTAGAGCCAAAAAATCTAAAAAATTAAATAAATACTATATATATAGATACACAGTTGTGACTAACTGCATCAGATGCAGTGAATACACAGAAGTTTAAAGTCAACAAATGAAAAGATAACAAGGAACTTTTATATTTGTTTTTCCAAAAATAATAGATTCAAAACAATAGATATTTTCTATGATCATTTTTTAACTTTTATCCATACTTAGCAAGTAAATAAAAATGAACACTGTATGTACTTTTCAGGAGAGCAGCAGATGCCTGGTTTAATATGAAAATGTCGTATCTTCCGTTACAACGTTTTATTGACACAAGGACCGAAAACGGTATTTAAGTTTTAGTGAATGTAGCAGAACAAATGGAACACAGGAAGTAAACAAGAAGAGCTCTTAATTACTACATGCACATGTTTTTGTGTTGTTTTGGACTATTTGTGAAATATTTTCATGCCATTTTCTATCTAGATAAACTGTTCAAATGTAGAATGTGAAATGTGCTCAGGAATCATAAAGTGGAATACAATTACAAACAATACTACCACATTGGTATTTTACCACAAACAATTTTTATAAATACACAACATGGTCCATACCTGTGGATGGTTCAGCTGTTGGTACTGGGCTTAGAGCTGGCATTAGAACCCTGGGTTTGTAGCCGCTAGTGATGTTCTCGCTTGGCGTCACCAAGGGAACAGGATTCGTATTGGGAGGCAGGCAGCTGACCTTGTTTATGCCATCTACACAGGAAAACGCTTCTGGACATGGATTAAGCAGGCAGTCATCATAGTTGTGCTCACAGTTCCTCCCCTGTGTACATAAATTAGACAGCCTTGAGATGTGTCATGCAACTCTGCCTTGAAATGCTAAATGAGACGTGGTGTTCATAGTTTGAATCGTCAAAGTATTTAGTAGATTTTAGATTTAAAAATCATATTATTAAAGACGATACCCAACAGCAAAAAAATAAAATAAATAAATCATGATTAGTTTGTCATGTAATTACATAATTTCCCCCTATTTAGATTGATTTACTTGATAAAGTGTATTTTTTAACTACTACCTAGAAAGACTAATCACAAGTTATTTTATTGACAAGAAATGATTCAAAA